CAACAATTGCCTACGAATGCTAAATAGCCTTTCTTATTTGATAACTGGCAAATGCTTAGTATAAGGACAAAGTATGATAAGTTTAATTTTCTTTTTCTTTTTTTGTCAGTTGAAGTCTGTACAGTTGGTTTTGATCCGAAAGGAGGACATAGATTTCATACCTCCCTTCTGAATTTTCAATCCAGACTACTGTCCGGGTAACTTTATTTAAAAGTAATTAAATGAAAACCAATCAAAAGCCATAAATTGGTCAAATACTTATGATTTTCAGTATATATGTAAACATTTTTGACTTGACCAGACCTATTTACTATTTTATCTTTTGATATATTTTGTAATTATGCAGTGTTGTGACCAAGCCATTTGTTCTTGCAATATAGGAGTATGTGTTTTCTCTCTAATTAGTATGGAGATATGTTTCTTTTGTTCTTAATGACTTCACAAGGAGAAATGAGTCCATTTCTACTAACAGTTCTAACGCACCTTCCCATATTGAATTGCTCTTACTTTAGCTTTCTAAACTAGACTAGAATTAAAGTTCTGTACATTATTGTTGGCGTACAATTTTTTTATACCATAAGATACTCGAACCCTTTAAACTATATCATGTCGTGGGGGACAAATAGGAATTTTGATCAATTTTCCATCTATTATTTCCCAGAACCTTGTACGTACATATATACGTAAGGATTAGTTTAAAGGAAGTTGTATATTGTATTTAACCACTCTAAATCTAAAGGATGGATATATAGAACATTCGATTACGTTAAGCAATCCATTGGGGGTACTGTTGGTATATGTTGCTAAATTTTCAAAAATATGAGGGGAACGTTAATCTCTAGTCTCAAGAGCATAGCTAGCCAAAATAATATGCACCTTTATTAGTTTCCCTAAAACAATGTCTTATCAAATCTACTTGCGTACCTCAACACCATCCAATATTTATTAAATTAAAATGGGTGTTATATATATTACTCTCTGTGAAAAGATTGTGGATAATTTCCCGTTTTAGGTCTCTATATTGAAACAACTCCCACATGAAGAAAGTAGAGCAAGGTTTCTGGATGGCAAATTTTCTTTATGTTCGATCTAGTTGTGCCTTTATTTCAATTTATTTGCTGCCATTGATCATGCTTTTTAATTAGACAAATCAAGATACCAGAGGCTGTAAGCTTCCAAGTTACGTTGCTCTATCTTGGCCAATTTGATTTGGGTTTCGCTCTAACATATTATATGTTAAGATCTTCTGTATTATAGTCTGTGTCAATTAAAACCTTTGTAAATCGATATATATATATATATATATGCGCTTACAAAAGCATTGTATTACTCGAATACTAGTATACATGAAATTAACGTTGATTAAAATATACTACTACATCATTTTCAACTCTGATTTTTGCTTGCGAGAAATAGTTTGTATCCTTTTGCTATGTAAAATAATACTTATCGAAAGTGGAACAAAGTGAAATTTCACCATGCCACTTCTATTTGATTTCCTTCTAGCACCGCCGACAATTTTCATACTATATGAAAAAGGCAAAACATTTTTTTACAAGTGTTTTAGCCTAGGACTTAGGAAACAAACAAATTAAATTTTAAGAACTTAAATGTCATGGTTGCATCTGTAGTATAAATTCGTAGGAGTAGTTATATGATATATATGGGAGTTTCATATGTCTAAGAAAGGCATGCAGGAACATATCTTCGTTATTTCAATTGTATTTGAAGGTTGCACGGCACATGACCGGATTGCTCAACCAGTATCCCTATCGATATTTAATTTTAAGGGTTCCAATCAAAATATATCACAATTTTCAACTTATATAGTATATATATATATGTCTAGAATTTTTGCCGAAATTAACGGATCTGGTGACCCTCTACTCCAAACATAGGTTCCATTCTGACTATATGTAAATCAACAACTGAAGAAACCATTTTGTAGAGAGGGACCATAAAAATAACAAGAACAAACAAACACAGACTAAATTTCAATTCAGAACACAAACGATCGACACCATTCTTCAGAAAAAGGAAAAACAAAAAAGGGGTAGCTAGCCAGCCNCACAAAACAACAACAATAACAACATAGACGTTCTTCTCCATGGGAGAAATAATTAAGAGTCGGAGTCAGAGTCAGAAGATGATTCATCGTTCTCCGACTCAGTACTGTTGCTAGTACCAGAACATGGTGATTGATCTCCCAGCTCACGTCTTGCAGTTAATGTTGTTGCTATTACCAGAAATTGATGATTCATCGTTTTGAGAACTTCTGCCCTATTACTCATCAAACGATCAATGGTATGATCTACTATTGGTTTTCGTCTGGCCTCGTTACTATTGGTCTCTTCCAGCTGTTTATTATTATTCTTCTTATCTTCTTCCTCTTTATTCTTCATATTTAACCATTCTAGCTCTTCTGTTAGAAGCCAAACCTTATCCTTCATTATTTCTGAAACTACATCCGAAGAAGAGACAGTACTTTTCCTCTTGCCACTCACAGCAGGAGACTTACTTCTCTGCTGCCGTGGTGGTAGTGGTGGTAGTTTTGCAAATGTCTTCGCTATTTCAGCATCCATTACTTCCTTACCTTTGACACTACCCCTTGTAGCCGATACAGGTGAGTGCACACACTGTAGATTGACTGAACCTGTAGAAATATTTTCAACTGCAGTAACCCTAAAGGATTCGGCTAGAGAGTTTGCATTGGCATTTGAAAATTCCATGTTCACGTCGGCTGCAGGAGCATCGGGTTGGGTGCGCGGTGGCGGTGGTGGTGGAGGGATGATTGTTGATGAAGGTGCGGTGAAAACAGGAGGAGAGTAGACAAGGCGAGTGTCATCATAAATCTGTATATGAGCAAAAGAACACAAATAATTAATTAGGCTTGAAACATGTTAGATAAGCTTAGAGTCCCTCTCTTTTGTGTAATTGATATAAAATTATAGGGCAAAGAAATTTAGTGCATATGACAAGCCTTTTGAAATTGTAATTAGGAAAACAAGAACTATTTTATAATCTTAAGTGTAAAATCCGAAGAAGAAAGTGAGTGTTTCTAGAGAAAAGTAATCCACCAAAATAGATGTAGAATTAGAAGGTAATTTTTTTTTTCCAAAGTGAACGACTATTCATAAGGGAGAAAAAACCAACTTACTCAAAAGGAAAAGATCAAAGAAAATCAAAAATGAAAGGAAGCATCATTTCATTTGAATGCAACTTAGCTAGTTTTAGTAGATACACCAAATCTTTTAATTTTCTACGCTAAACAAATAATGAAATTATTTTGGTGATAGATGCAAAATTTCTTCATAGTGAATAACAATTTATAGGAACAAAAAAAATACATCATTCATTTTAAAACAAAACCTGGTGTGATGCAACTGGTAGGAGGTTGCTGGTATCCAACCTACGATGGAAACTTCTAGAACAACCGCAAGTTTGACAGCACAAAGCTTCTGTGCTACCGGGAGGACCCCCGGGAGCAAAAGCTAGGCAGCCATCAGTGTCATAGGTCATGGCACCAGTTAAGCGACTGCGAATGCACTCACCATAAACCGCTGGACTAATCATAGGCCTATTGTTATTAGCCCTAGCAGCTTGATTAGCTCGGAGCATGTTGTTATTAGCCATTGATTAATACTAGCTAGTTTCTTTTAATGAAGAAGAAGAGAACTTGATTTTATTGAGAGATGTGATGAAACTTGAAGAAATGGGTACTCTTATATAGAAAGGATTTGTTGAGAGTCAAGGTGTTTATTGTCTTTTCCTTTTTACGGCTGGGGTGGGGCCAGGGGTAAAGATTATTAGGGATGAGATTATATTAGGGAATCTCTTATCACCATTTTCAAATTAATTGGTCATATTATTAAGGACATTGCATTGGGAAAAAAATTAACCTCTTATAAGACCGTTTGGTTCAGATATGAGATATCATATTATTTGGTTAGAACTTAATTAATTATTATTAGATCTAGTATACATTGAATATTGTCCTAAAATGGAGTATTTGAAGAGCAGATTTATATTAATTAGATTGTATTACTGTAATATCAAAAATTTGGAAGTTTCTTTGTGTTTATTAAATGTAAAAACACCTCATATTAGAACTGGTATTTCATACTTATCTCCAAAATCTAGCTGACTGACTTACACTTAAGCAGTGAAAAAAATGCCGTTGGTTAGGAATATTTATGATGAAATATAGTAAATTGAAACTCCATTATATTAAATCAATGGAGTAAACTTGAAAAAGAAAATAAAAAGAGAGAAAAAACTAATAACAAGTGATTAAGAAAGTTGTGTTGCGATACTATGAGTAACTAAAAATTAAATCATAAATAGTGTTGTTCTTTTTATTTTTCTATGGTATATATTTTGCAAATCCTGTGCCTATCCACATCCCTAGCTAATTCAAAATCAAATCAAGGTATATAGGAGTTAGGACTCAATCTTTCTTTCTCGTTTTTATTTTTCAACTATATAAATCTCCAAATACTTTTACTTACAGACGATATATATAACACTTTAGAATGTCTATAATATTTTTCTTTTTCTGTTTGGATCATTTGACTATTCAGACTAGTTAGGGATGTATTTTAGCAGTTATAATAACTCCTTTTAGATACTCAGTCATAGAAACATTATTTGTTTTTTAATGAAGATGCGGCAAACATTATTGTCGACCCCTCTCTAAGAGCATGAAAGGAAAAATAAAGTAAAGCATGTGTCGCTAAAAAAAGGAACTACCGTATAGCTCAATTCTGAATTTTTTTCCTATTTATTAAACCAAGTAATTAGGCATTTAAAGAATGGAACAACACAAAAAGTGATTTGAACAGGCAAACTAAGTAGTATTACAGTATTATGAGAAAAAAAGAAACAAAAGCTAATTAAACAAGTAGAACACATATGGTTTTCTCAAGAAAGAATCGGACTTGAGAGAATGAGAGTGATCAGATCGAAGTTTAATTTTAAGCAACTGATCCTTCTTTCTCTAGCTAGATGGTTTTTTTAGGACCAAATCTGCGTCTGTTGTTGTCAATCCAATTCTTCAAGAAATAGGGAGTGATTCCAATCTCTGCACAAAAGGTTTTCACTTCTTTATTGTACTTTGTCCACCTCCTCCACCCTATCTTCTCTGCAAAAGCCTTCACTCTTTCCTTTTGCTCTGAGTTAATCCTCTTTCTTTTGATGCTCATCTGCTCAACTACTTCTATCTCTCCTCCGCCCATCTCCGTCGTCTCCGCTCCCTGTGGTGGGGACGTGGCAGCAACGTTGTTGTTCTCGTCGTACTTTTGATGAGGATGAATTCTTGACCGTTGTTGAGATGTTGGGGTTGGTGGAACAACAATAACAAGGGAAGTACCTGATTGAAGAAATAATTAAATTAATAAACAAAAGCATATAGGTGCTCGTTTAAATAATTAGACAAGATAGTCACACAGTTTTAATATAGTGCTAGAGCAACTATCTCTACATTTAATTGGGTTTGAGTGTCGCCACCACCCATTTTTAAGAAGAATTTTCATGTACCTACGCTTGACTCATGACAAGGGAAGTACCTGCTGAAAAAAATTTAATTAAATCTAAAGAGTAGGGAAGTACCTTAGAAAAGATTATACGATGCGATAAATCATTTCTAACATTTTTTTAATATATGCGAATCTGATTTTCTTTTATGAGCCAAATATATGTTTTAATGGTGATACTGGAATCCAGTTAGATCTCTAACTAGCTATTCTGATACTCAAGCAAAATTATATGCCTATATCTCATCTAAAAATTTAAATGAAAATACGTTTATTTATTAATTTTTCACCTGTTGGTTTAGTGAGCTAAATCTGTCTACCCAAAAAAATTATACAGCTAGTACCTTTTAAATGCAAAATTTAGTCTTTAATATGGGGGGAACATAATTTAAAGAGTAGCCTCAAGAAAAGGCATCTTGTTCAGTCAAATAAATAAAAACATGTTGTCTCGAAATATTTGGATTATTAGATGTGATGACCATACCATGCCTATGGTGAGTATTAGAGAGGATAGGAAGCTCCACCTCCATTTTTCTGTGGAAGCTTCGATGGCAAAGGCAAGGCGCGCAGATCAAAGACTCTGGAGCACCATTTGGACAAAACTCACGACAACCATCAAGTGCATAGCCCATGGTACTTGCTGCATAATTATGCTTGCACTCATAGTACTTCTGCTTCACAAGAAAGTGTTTGCTGTTGGAAGCCATCAACAAGGAGGAAACTACAGTGAGAGAAGTGAAGATATATTGGATATATATAGCGGTGAGCGTTGAAGAGGGGAAAGTGAGTGTCGATAATATAAAGAGTGAAACAAGGAGAGAGGTGTCTGCTTATTGTGGCTGCATGGCTATTTGGGGTTTACTAGAACATTGCCATATGGAGTTTATTTATAAATATAATGACAATTAACTTGGATTTTATATATATAATATATGGATTTGGATTTTGGACTTGTTGAAGCCAAACGTGTGATGTAATTTATTGAAGCCCGAAATTTCCGTTTACGTGGTCTTTCTGTATTATTATCAACTAGTTTTATAGCTTTCCTTGCCAGATACGGAAGAAGGGAAAAAGAATTAAAGGAGGAAACAGAAGGAAAAAACATTGAATATTAGGGCAGTGATAGTATTGCCACATGAGAAGTTCAATCGTCGGAAAGTTATAATTGCATATAGGGAAACAAGTTTTGAATATCATTGACACTAAAAAAGTACGTCGTACTTTTGCTAAAAAAAACTCTCTCGCTAAGACAAAAAACTCTCTCCGTACGCTTAGCCGTTATTTACAATAAACGGTAACTTTTAGACGATCTCCACCAACGCATGGCACCATTGTAAGATAGTTTGTTATTGGCAAGTTGAAAGTTGGATTCTTCCCACATCGGAAGAAAGAAGTTTCGTGCCTGTCATGTGAAACACTCCCGGGACCGACCTTACTCGTACCGTGTCTGTTAGCCTCGGAACTGATAATTATGAAATAGCACATAACAGGCACGAGATTGTCTCAACAGGCACGAGATTGTCTCAACAGGCACGAGACTGACTCAACAGGCACGAGTCTGACTCAACAGGCACGAGATTGTCTCAACAGGCACGAGACTGACTCAACAGGCACGAGATCCTAGAGTTAACTATTTATTTGAATTTTAAATTCAAAATTCGAATAAATAGTCGTGTCTGTTTGTGAAACAAGACATCTTTTCTGAAAGGGTCTATTGGTTGCCTATAAATACACAAGAATTCCAACGAAGTGGATATAGAAAATCACAAGTGTTATTGCAGGCTTTGTTGTATCCTGAAGAGAATCGTTTTGTATTTTCCCTAAATTAGTATACAGGCGATAACTATTTAAGGACAGTCGGTTTTCACGCCTCAAAGCTAATTTGATTATTTTATTTCTAACAATCTTAAAGAGTTATTCTGCTATGGAGAAATTGATGTCTGTTGTTGAGAATCCGAAGGAGTTCATCAAACTTGATCGCTTTGATGGAACGAACTTTACCCGTTGGAGAGACAAGATGATACTCTTGTTGTCCGCTCTTAATATCTACTATGTTCTTGATTCTGCCTTGCCTCTGATGCCTGAGCCCACAGCAGAAGATTCT